TGTTTTGCTTGTTGTTCTTTCTTACTACATCTGAATGTTAAATGTGCTTTTGCATTTTGTCACGGTATGTACTATACAACCTTTAATGCCTTATTATGAACGCATATGTACAAAACTCAAAATAATTTAAGCCTTAATGTGGAAACAAAATTTTATTTTAATTTGATTTATAATTCAGAGGAAGATTGTGGTTTGTTTTTTAAGACTGCCTCTTATATGTATTTATATTTACATGTTTATATATTTATATATGGTATATAAAATATTAACATATGTATATAAGCTACATATTTATATAACAGACATTTTTATGCAAAAACAGTTAAAATTATTGTGCATGTAAGAAAGAGTCAGTTTCTAAAATATCAGAAAGCATATTCTTAAACAAAGGTTGGGAAATCTCTGAATCAAAACTCCATAATAACCAGGCACATTAATTCATTGATCTACTTAAATGAAAATCAAGTCATAACTTTGCCCAAAAGGTAAGACCAGAAAGAGGAAGCAAAATAAAGAGTTAATTTTAGCCTAGTACTTCTAAAGTGGAACACACATCAGTTTTCCCTATGGAATGGAGGATAGATACTGTCTCCAGACACCAGAGGTTCTTTGAGTTTTCATACAGTCCATAGAAAACCCACAGGAATCTGGGACCATTGAGAGCTGCTGTTTCCAAGCTAGCTGTCTCAGCCTCCGTCTTAACTAATAAATAACACTGAGACATGGGCTTGAATTCTGGCCTATAATTGAATATTGTTACATTTTATTGTTAGAGTGCTTGGCAGCCCAGTGCAGTCTTGTCAGCTAGCTGTCTGCCAAGCAAGGCTCAGGTATTGTTCAAGGGACAGCGCCAGCACAGGACCATTCCCAGTTGTCATCCAGCATCTTCTGTAAGGAGAAGAGTTTATGCTGTCTCACCTGGAACTGTGGTTAGAAAACAGTCAATGCTCCATTGAAAATAGGTTCTCTCTGATGTGTTTTTATGAGCCTTCCCTTAAAGCATATCTTCTCTAAGGAGAGGTGCAAATCCTTATGGGGCTCTGGGACTTTCACATTTCTGTGTGTAAAGATATTCATGCATTGTGTCCTCCACTTCAGTGGAAGCAAGTCCACGGACCTTCCCTTAGCAGATATGGATGAAACATATTGTGTCATGGGAGCTGATGTACTCACAGCATCCGAACAAAGAGACTGACTGAAGGTCTCAAGTGTAATCTGGTCCTTGTGCAAAGTGTCAACTAAGCTGAGATCTGAAGTACTATTGATCCTTACTAAAACCCTGGTAATGTACTGGCTGTCAATAATCCAATACCTTATCTTATGAAGCCAGAAAGAACAACAAATGCTGAACCAAAATGCCATACGAGTTATGCATAGGGAGCATTTTCCATGTGACTTTCCTTATTCATGTGGGAAGGTGATGTTTGTCTCTATTTCCCAAATAGAGAGAGGTCTATTGGACAACTCTTCACAGAGTTTCAAACTCTTGGGTTTTGGGGCTAGAGGAGGAGGTGAAAAATGGACAAGATAAGTTTGGATGGATGACCATCTTCTTCCACTTCATGCCATCTTCTGCCTGTACCATGCATCCCTAACTCCTCTCACCCTTCCCACTTTCTCCCAACAGCAAACCCTAAAGCCAGTTCACTATAGTGTGTTTCCAAACAGGGGAGCGGAAAATAAGCTTCACCAGAAAAACCCTCCTACTGTGTGAGAAACCACTGTGTGAGGGATCCAGCCCCGAGACCACGCAGATAATTCCTGCCCTTATTAGTGACCGTAGCATTTCCTGTGTAGTTTGTTTATCATTTACATTATATTGCAGATAGAATCAGCATTTGGAGAGAAACAGTGCCAAGGAAAGGTTTCCCAATTGCATTGTGTTAAGTCCTCACTAATGCTAAATCATGGCAATCATGACAAATGGTAGGATGAAGTACGGGTTTGAGGAGAGGAAGAAAACATGATTCTTAATAAGGCTTTAAAGGATGCTTCATTGTTGATTTTTAGTTGAAATTGAATGTTCGGGTCTTGAATGACCCATCTGTTTCCCCATTTCAGACTAATGGGAGTGCCTTAGCTAATGAGCATTGGCTTTTTATTCATTTTGAGAATGCAGTCGACGTGTTTGTGTGAATTATAATTTGCAATTTCATTTCAGTAGGTTAATTAATGTAAAATGGTTGAGAATAGTTTTGAGGTTTGTGGAAAGCAATGTAGTATGTGCACAGGTTTTGCAAAGTAGTTGCTAAGCTTAAATGTTGGCAGAATTCTTACATACTCTAAAGTAAGTTCTATGCACATGTACTTGGAAACATTTTAAATAATGAAAATATTCACAAAATACGGTGTCACTGTTTTTTTAATACTAATTTTCACAGTAAGTGTTATTCCTTAATTAAAGAAAAATGCATACTGGCTATTATTTATTTGACTTGGCACAGCATTTAAATGCAGCAAAACATCTCATTTTTCTTCTTTTGTTCTCTAGCAATGGCAAGTCGCCAGGTAGACATCGCTACTCAAGGGTGGTTCATTGGTCTTATGTGTGCTGTTGCTCTTCTGATCTTGATTTTACTGATTGTTTGCTTCATAAGGAGGAATAAGGGTGGCAAATATCCAGGTATGATATACAACAATGAGATTAAAAATCATCTACTGGTAATCCATTGAGAGAGATCTCAGGTTTACTGGAGAAATTACATTTGCTGCTTGTTTGCATTTATCTTATGTATATGGTAAATTGGTCATGGTTTGGTAGGCTTGTCAGGAGCAATCTGCCTACTACTAGAAAGAAAACTTCATTTAAGCCTAAGAAAAGTATAATCTCCTTCATTTCTGGAGGGTCATATTACTACATTACCTCTCTAGAGAGGTTTGAGCTTTGTTTGAGATACTTGGGGTCCCCCCTGCCACACACACTTTCTGAAGTCTAATCCAGATGTGTTTAACCCACTAAAAGGGGCTGAGTTAGAATTTAATTGGTCAGAAAGCATGGAAACTTATACCAGATCATAGCTGCCATGTTACTTTACTGTACTGGGAATGCATTTCATAGGACAAATCCTTTCATACATTATTTTGTTTCAAATACATTCTCCTCAGAATCTGGGTCGTCTTCCAACTCTGCATTTTTGCAGCCAAATTTGAAGTTACCATCCTTCAGTTAGGCTGCTTTTTCTTCTATAAGTTTTTCTTTATAAGAGCTTTTCTTTTTAGGGGTTTGGGGTTTTTTTTCAGTATTAGGCCTAGAAATGGCCAAGTATCTTTTATAATTTGTAAGTAAAATTGGAACTATGCAACGTACACCTTTATCAAAATTCTGATTCCTCTGGGTGTACATATTATAAAAGGCATATATGTGTGTATGTATGTATGCGTCCATATATGTGTCTTACATATGTTTTTTCCAAGTCTTATATTTGTGTTTATGTAGTAGATCCATAGACTAAAGCTCTCCTGAAAAGGATAGTAGCAACCAGTTTGTACAGAATAGTAGTACTGCCTCATAGGATCTCAGAGCAGCCGTGAAGTACGAGTGGATATGAATGGACTTCAGCTGGGCATCAAAGGATAATTTCATTTTTCTTTTTCATCTCCTTCCTACAATAGAAAGTACAATTGCCAAGTTTCAAGTCAAATCTTGATTTCAGGAAAAAATTCTGTTCTATGTTACAGGCTACAAAGGTTCGGAAATTATATAAATAGCCAGTCTCTGGAATGCTTATTTAAAGTCAACTCAAAATTCTTGAAGTTCATGTTGTTAATTTGGACATGAAAAAGATGGCTGCACTTACAAAAGTACAAAAAAAAAATAAAAAAATCCGTGCTCTGTTTTAATTTCTCCTGCTTGTTTTGACCAGTGCATTTCTGAAAACAAGTGTCAGCAAACACTTCAAACATTTCCTCCTCATAGTCAAATCTTTTATAGCTAAACTTAGAATGGCAGATTATTTTTATAAGAAGATAAAATCACCTTATTAAGTATAAGAATCCCACTCTGCTCAATCTAATGGTTTAATTGTTTTATAGAGAGGACAAGGATTTGTAGCAACAGCAAATATTAAGAGAAGTTTCTGTCCCAACCACCTATGCCCGTGGAGAAAAGACACATGATTAAGGAACACAGTGTTATATACAAGCTGAATGACAGGCTGAAGACATCATCTTAGGTTTTTCCCTAATATTTGGTTTTTCTAAAGAGAAGATGAGATTACAAAGGATATAGAAAAGTGACTTGTAGCGGAGGGAATTGTGAAAAGAGAAAGAATATTAGGAGGATGAAACAAGTAAAGTGATGTGACTGACAAGACTAGGGAGGGCTTGGAGTGAGCCACCATCAAGAAGAGGGTAAAGCAGTTTGCATAAAAGCATAGAAGGCAGTTGGATGCTAAGGTTGTCATAACTTTGTGGAGATCCCTGCTCTGCCCTTCTTTTCTCTGCATCTGCAGAATTACACACACACATATGCATATACACAAACATATAGAAAGGTAGACCTTGACTGTATGTAATATTTTCAGATTCAGTATATACTCTTGTTTATAGCAGTGACTCTAGAGCTAATTGTATTTCCTGTGTCATTGCAAAGGTACTGTTCCACAGATAGTGACAAATGTAAAACACAAAGTTATTAACTCTTTTTTTGTTGTAACTTTAGCGTGTCATCTGGAGATTGCCTATTGTCTGGAAAAGAGTAATAAATTATTCAGTATGAAATTATAGCAGCCAGATACATTTCAAGGTGTTATGCATTATTGTAATTATAGACTTAGAAAATACTGTCAGGAATGGTTCATATCATCTTAAATAACAGCATATAAACTAATGATGTACAAATTAAGTGTGGAAATTACCAGAGTAAAAAATCAGAGATTGTATATTGGATTATATAACTGTATCTGCTACACAGGGGAAAGATTTGAGTGGTAGCCAGAAAAACAGAAATGAAAAGGCAAAGGGAAGAACCATAAAGATAATTCTAGAAGTCAATATATTATTTTACTCTGTCAACAATCTTAACTTAGAGGAATATATGTCTTTTATAAACATCTGTTTTCTCAGGTGCTAGTGGGCTTCTGTGTCAAAGGACACAGTGCTACATAGGTTTTTTTAGAGGGAAAAGTAATGTGTGTGGATTTATTCCCACCAGTGAATGATGACTAAACCTGTAACAAGGATGTGCAAGAGGTAAAATTGTGTTAAATTTAGGTTCCACTCTAAGTTGGTTTTCTTTGCTTTTGATCATGTTATAGAAAAGAAGAAATTGAGAGACCAAGCCTATTTTTTTTTCAATATTAGTAATTCTTAAAATGCTGTTTAAAATTCCCTGGAGTCTTACTGCATAAAATGAAAGCAGAAAGTATACAAACTGACAGTGAACACAAGTGAATGATTCAGTTTTAACAATCAGTATGAGAGGAATATCAAGAGGAAATAGAGAGCATGGATAAGTAAAACTAAATTATTCATATTTCAATAAACAGTAGCTCTATTAATAAGTAAAGAAAGTATTTTTGTAGGATTTTTAGCAAAACTTTCTCTTTAGTACTAGAAATGAAAGGAAAAAGTTTTACTAATGCAGAATGACATACAGTATTTTGTACTCAAATGAAAATAAAATTCTGTAACTAATTAAGAGATCTTTTCCTTCAAAAGAAAAAATGTAACAGCCTAAGGCCCCAGTTCAAAAAATTATTTTTGTTCAAACCACGTTCCTGCCAAATGCGATCAGTTTGAGAAATTAGGGTCTTAAGGTTTCTCATCTTGCAGTTTCATGATAAAAATTACTATTTCAAATATTTTAGTGAAGGAAAAGGAGGATGCACATGCTGATCCAGAAATACAGCCTATGAAGGAAGATGATGGAACATTTGGTGAATACAGGTGAGCAACTGATGTGGTTTGTCATGTTCAGTGTTCATATCACACGTACTGTATGTAATATCACACTTATTAATTCAAAACTAACTTTTTTTTCCATGTTGACAAAGATTATGTATCCAATGTTGTATAGAACTATAGATAGCATTTCAACCACACCATTAGAAAAGAAATTAAACATCCAAGCTTAGAATAAGCCATTCACTAATGCAAGGTGAAATCCAGATTCAAACACAGTTGTCTCAAAGTGAGGAATCTTTATTTACACACCCATATTTTAGATAGTTAAAATACCAGACACAGTGTCCTTTCAGTTAGGGCATTTAGCATTTATTTAGCATTATGTTTTTTGAAAATACACTTCTAATTGAAGCCTAATGAAGACAATCTTGTGTCACATTGACTGAAAAACAAATGCATTTAAAATGGCTGCCGGTACTAACACCTAATCCAGTAACAAGGAAGTGATGTTATACACAGAGGTGAAGGAATGTCCTACAAGAAAGAAAGCAAACCTCTCTGTCATGTATTTGTATTTCAGTATTGTATTTCAGTACAAGATACGTAGCAAGCAGCTTCAAAGCATGCAACACAGCTTTTATTCCTGACTCTTCCTTTATTGTAAATGTAGTCTAGCTGGATCTCCTGGCATCACAAAAAGCATGCCTTACCAAGTCTGTTCATATAACGATTATGTGTATAGCTTATTAAATAAGAAGCATTTTATTTTTTGTTTTTTTATTAGTACAGGAAATAATGTTGTTATTTTCTAAAGTCAATACCATTATATTTTACATAGGTGTTATAATAGATTTTATAGTGCATTCTTGTATCAAAAGCATTGTAAAAGCCCTTTATTTTGAAGATGTGACATTTACAAATGTACATAGAAAAATCAATTTTTTCAAGAAGGATCTACTCCGTTGCCATAGCTCCCTCATATAAGGGAAATACGCATCTTGATCTGACTGGAATAAATTTACAGTTCTGAATGCCAAAGAGCAGTTTCTGTTCATTCTTCCTTGATTTAAAAAAAAAAAAAAGATACTCTGTTCTTAGGTTAATGGGTTCAGAATAGTGTTTTATTACAGCATTAAGTGCATAAGGATTAATTAAATTCAGCTGATAAAAAAGTAATTGTTAAGTAATGTTTGGAAGCAGAGGTAAATAAGTACTGTAGAAGTTCTCCTAGGCAGTCCAGTTTGCATTCTCCTTTATTGCTCCTCTGTTTTTCGATACTTGCAACTTCAGCAGCAGAAACTGACCTTCGTACAGAATTGTACAAATTATATGACCTCAATACATGTTGTCTCAGGCCTAGAATAAGACTGTTCAAGTCTGCTTCCATGTGTGACCTGTAGCAAGAGTTGAATTTATGTCTCCATGTTTAAGTGGCTTGAGTTAATCTACAGAATCATCTAGTGCTTTATTAAATTATTTTATAATGCATTTGTCCACCTCATGTCTGGTGAATATGGAAAGATGCATGCCAAGCTTTCAGACTTGCTCACGTGAAAGAACTTATCCTATTTACCATGCAAAAACTCCTTTCTAAAATGTATTTCTGTGTAATTAGTCTATATTGGGCTTTCCTCTTTTTTTCCTTAGAGACAGGGCAGCAGCAGCAACCAGTCAGATTACAGAAGATATCTTGGCACCCTCTCGCAGCCCAGCATCACTGCAGTCACTCAGTTCCCAGTTTGTCTGCCTCACATGGCACTGGTCATGATGCAGTGCTTCTTTGAGGAGAAAGGGTATAGGGTTTCCCTTGGAGAAAAAAAAGTAATTTTTGAAAGATCTAGGAATTCGAGTATTTTGAATTTTTTTCATCACTTCAGGTCCATGTCTGCTTGGACAGGAAAGAAACTGGACAAGGAAAAGAAAAGAAAAGGTAGCTGTGCCAATTCTCCTGAAGCAGCCCCTGTCTTTACCAAAGCAAAGTCTCTGAGATCTGACAGATCCAGCTTCTTCAGAAGGTCAGGGGATCAATACTCCAGCACCAGATCAGAGACCTCCTACACCAGGAGGAGGGCTAGGCAGTCTTCAGAGCTTACAAGGGTTAGTTCTGTCTCTGCTTCCCTCTGCCAAGAGGAAAAGAGGTCAGACGAATGGAAGTACAGGCATGGCTCTAGACATCATGCTTCTGAGCAACAGATAATGGGGTCGGAGGAGGGCTCAGATTCTCAGGCAGGACAGCCATCCCTTTTCCAGCAACCCCTCAGCTGCAACTCAATTTGTGGCTCACTGGCAAGGCAGCATTCTTCTCTCCAGCACTGGTTCAGCCAGACCCCAGACTACAGCTCAGATTCAGAAGACACTCAGAGCTCCTACCACAGGAAGGTAAGACCTTCTACTACTACTCACTTCTCTGAATCTGAAAAGAATTCGTTAATGAAATCTGTAATTTTGCCTGAGCTAGCTACTGTCTTAAAGGATGCTTTGACAGCAGCCAGACAAAGTATAACTTCGGTGGCACAGGCTAGGTCCCATTCAGTAAAGCATCCCAGGGTACCGATTACAGAAGTCCCAGTGGTTCCTCTAGAAGCAACTGGGAGCAGTTCCCAAACTTTTGAGTCTGACCACATGGACAGTTTAAAAGATCAAACAGCTTCTGGGAAGGAGAAATCAGAGGCTGACAAGGCCTTGGAGATCGAGTCATCCTCTGAAGATGAGGAGGTGTCATCTGAGTCTCCTACAGAAGACCAAGAAGGACCAGGTCCTCTGCGTAAGTTTGATATGGAGAATCAGAATTATCTGTTCAAGCACATAAAGAGAGTGCTAATGCTAAAATCTTCCAAATCTGAATGTGCTTCAGAAGAACTGCTTATCCCCTCTGAAGAAGGCAAGGAAGATAATGCACTTCCTATCCATTCAGCAGTGGAAGATCTTGTCTGTAGGATTTGGGGTAATCCTGAGGCAAAGCATGAAGCACCAGCAGTCCTACATAAGCTCTATCCTTTTCCAGCGGATAAAGCTGCTTTGTGGGGCACCTTGCCTCAGGTGGACAAAGCATTGGTTACTGGTGATCCTGTACTATCAGTGCCTGCTAATATGGATGCTCTTCCTAAAGATCCTACTGATAGAAAGGTTGAGGAAGCAATTAAAAGATCTTTCAAGCTAGTTACAGCCCAGCTTGGAGTATCTATCTACTGCACTTATGCTTCTAGAGCGTTACTAATATGGTTGGAGGAAGAACAAGCCAGATTCAAAAAGAAATTGGTCCCATCTGGTGCCATACGGAAGAAACGCAGGCTATGTAAAATTGCAGCTAATTTTATCCATGATGCAGCTGAGGATTCTCTTAGACTCACCATTAAAAATATGGCATGCCTCACTGTAGCCTGGAGAGCTATATGGCTACGTCCTTGGACCTCATCACTAGATCTAAAATGTAAACTGCTGTCTTTACCATACACAGGTGGCAAGCTGTTTGGTGAATCCTTGGTCCAGATAATGAAGGATTTCTCAGAACAAAACCACTCCTTACGTCAGCTGAAAAAAAAGAGCTCTGTTGGAAGCTCTTCATTTTCTTACCCTCACAGGTGTCTGAGCTCCTTTCGTTCTCCTCCGAAGTTTAAAGGAGGGAGGGGAAAGTATAAGGTCTCACACTCCTTTCATGCCAAGTACGAAAGGACATCTCACTTTCAGAGAGACACCAGACCATCAAGAGGAACTTTCTAATAGTGAAAGATTTGGAAATTTATACTGAATAGACTTCAATATTTCTGGACAAGTAAGCCCAATGCTTAGAAAACTAGTTGTTTCAAAATACAATTTAAATTATTAAATTACTTAAATCTTAATGACTAATTAAGATACTCCAGAGAAGTCATAGCTCTCAATTTTAGAGGCGGGTTTTGTCACATTCAGTTTCTAGGCTTCCCAGTATTCTTTGGATGGCTTGGACTTCTTTGAAGTTTTGCACTCTTCAGCTTCATCAAAGAGCATACTTTCTGCAGGACCATCCAACATCCGGTTTTCCTGCCATATTGATCTAACGAAGGAAACACTTTAGGAAACACAGGTGTTTCAGAAACCACAGAATGACCAGGTATACCATGCCCTGTGGCTGGAGGCATACCTGCACTTTTATATAATAAGGGAAATCAGTGCCTCTGTAGCAAACTGCACTACAGCCTCAGGTTTCCTGAGTTGTAGAAGACCAGGATAGTAAATTGTGGACAGTCAATGCTTACGCTAAGAAACTGCAAGAAATACAAGAAGTACCACAAACTTATGTTTATTTAAATTAAAATTAAAGACTATCTAGAGCTCCTGTTCATGTCAGTGTAGGTGTATAAATCAGCCTAAATTTCCATGCTGGGCCCTAAATCAGGAGAAATAAAGAAGTTATGGCATCTACAGACCTGTGGATTCATGGGTAGGGAGAGATCGGAAGCATGCTTTTCTTAGTTAACTTCACAGGAAGAATGAAAGTCTAGCATCTCATTGCAGGCTGCAGAATGTTCTTGGGAAGATCAAACAGGACCAGGCAACTACGACAGTAGTAGGACTGTTAGTGTGCTACCACAGGATGTTTGCACATTTTATTGAATTATTTTGCCTCTTTGATATTTTGACACACACAATATTTTTCCTAGAAGTTCTTGGTTATGCTATGAGAGACTTTCTGGAAATGGTTGGTGGAGAGTTCTGAGATTGCTAGATAATGTATTACTCTTCCTTCTTGTTCTGGGTTGATTAACAATGAGAATATAGTTTGTAACTACAATAGTATTTTTTTCTCTTGCGGTTATTCAGGTTTTATTGCAGCTTAGGTGCATTTCCAGGCAGTCCTAGCAATGATTTGTGCCTCAGCACCATAATTCTAAGTTTGGTCCCTTCTATCACAAGAGATGATGTCAATGGACTGCCTGAAGAATTCTTGCCTCTGAATAGTCCAATTGGATTTGGCAGTGGTCTTACTGTGTCCTCATTTATGCACACGTGTTTTCTTTGATGGTTCTTATTTTAATTCTTGAACATCTGCATCACTGCTTTTTAAATCAGTGCTTTTATTTCCCTTTGTATAATTTTCCGCCAGAAATAACAAAGACAGAAAGGCGGTTGAATTTCTCTCAAACAGATTTTTCTTTAAAATTTTCACAAGGAGTGAGTCAGGTTCTTTGACTAACAACAATTTTTTCAACCCATTGCCATTTAAAGCCAGAGCTTAATCTCCCAGTTTTTCCAGCTTCTGCCATGATTGAAGATTGAGTATTACAAAGATGCTAAAGAAAAACTACTCAGAAAACTGAGAGATGTGCTTATGTCTTAGCTAGATTAGAAATAGTAAAATGTTGTGAAGTCTGGTTTGATACAGCTGCGTAAGTGTCTAGGGAAAAAATTTTTCATCTGGATAGTCCTGTCAATTTAGGAGCATGAGCAGAAACCTGTTGCGTATTGGGACAGAGGTTCTCCTGGAGTGTGCAGGGAAGCCATAGCATAAAGTACTTCTGTGGCTTTCCATGACCGCTTATATACTTAAGTGTTTCTGGGCGGTTGACCTGAGGGCACAGAAAAACGAATTTACCGCCAACAATTTTCATCTTCTGCATCCTCTTTCTGTGTCGAATAGCCCAGAATGCTTTACCCGTTTTGTTTCTTTTTTGTTGCCTTTCATCTGACAGTTGTTTTATAAGGAAAAGTAGTATATTGCTAACCATATATTAAGTCTTTTTGCATGTCCATGAATGTGGCAAAGTTTAGTGGGAACTAGTTGCCTGCTGGACTGCAGAGGCATCGTAAAACTGTCTTCCCCATTCTGACTGGTTGCTGCATGTACCCATATCTAAGGAAGAAAAATTGAAAAGTTGAAAGAAGAAAGGAGATTTCAAGGTACATATTTCTTTCAATAACTGATGAGCTTGTGAAATGCAAGTACTTTTTTAAAAAAAACTGTTTGTACGTTGCACTTACGCATGTTATTGTCACCTCCATACTTCTTCATATCTCTTAATCATTAGCTGCAAGTTTTCTGTGTTTCATTAGACTAACAAGAAAAAGAAACGTGTATTCATACACTAGCAATTGTTTATGAAAAGTATTTAAATCATGCTTTTAGAATATGCTTTAATATTTAACACTGTTCTTATTAAAAGGGCAAGAAATGCATGTGGTACTTATCAGTACTTATCAAAATGACTGGTACACATCAGTATTCACTGAGCAACTTTCATCCCTAGTAGTATGGAATTTATTTGTAAGACAACAAATAATAGAAGTGTCCCTAGACTTAATTGTCATGGCTATCTCATCTAAACATAAAATTCATACCCATTCTCACCTCTTTTGCTCCCTCCCAGTACTTACTGTCCTACCATTAATTGTATGCACTGCATACATGACACATTTCAAAAACTTCTTCAGTTTTCCACTGTAATTTTGGTCGACCCAGTTTGTACTTCACTTTTTATGTCAAGATATTACAATAGGTTAGTATAAAGGACAGCAAGCAAAATGATACACAAAACCTAAAATAAATTATGATCTATCCTGATTGCATTTTTTAATAGTTTTATGAATAACTGTAAGCAAGATTAGCAAATCTTGCAGATACCATTTCAAAATTTATGGCTTTAACATGTTTTTGCAGTATAGTATTATGTATTCTACAGCCTAAAGTTTTCTATAGCTCTTTGGGCGTCCATATTCATAATGCAGTTCAGTGGTTTCTGGAGTTTGCTTCTTGGCAGCAAGCAGAAAATTCATTTCCCCAGAGCACCAGGGTCCCTTCTCTGTTTTGCATCCCTAGGGTCACAAAAGCGCTGTCCAGAACATTGATGTCTTCATTTTTTTCCTCTCTCTCCTGCTTGTTGTTTTGCTTTTTATTCCCCAGTTTCTTTCCCTTTCACCCAAACCATTGTATTCATCTAATACAAGAGCCATAATCCAGTTTGATAAAGAATAAATGGTACCATGGCATATATTTCCTTTTCCTGAACAAGGAGTGGAAAGCACCCTGGATAATCCCACATCTTTTACCACTGCCAGAGTCTTGGCAGAACTGCTGATGAGGGCGATGGAGAAACTGCATCGCATGTGATTTTTAAACGCTCAGCTCTGTCTTCAGCCTTTTAAATACAGGGCCCTTCCTGAATGAACTCTCTTCAGTAATGTCTCTGTAATCTGCTTGTGTTTGCAGCGTTATAAACATTTGCACTTTGCTGCTGGATGCTTGACATTTTGGAGTAGCGTTCTTTTAAACGTTACTAGCCTGTATGTTTGCAATATCAGTGAGCACAGGAGATCAACAATACGATCTTTATCCTCATGCCATGTACACAGCAATAACTAAAACCAAACTCAAGACTGATATAGTCAAGTGTAGAGTTTTTGCCTTTCGGTATTTTAAACACAAAGGTTTTCTTACGTGTTAATAAGATAGATATTTCTACTGCTTCTTTCTTGTGTATGCATAGGAGAATAAAATCTCTGGTATGCTTTTCCTGTAAGTATATGCATATTAGAGGTGTACTTCTTTTAGAATGTGATAATTCGGAGTCTTCCAAAAAAGGTGATGAGGTGAGGAGAAGCAACTTGATGGAAAATTGGTGTAATGGTTTTCTAGCAATAGTGAAATGTTTCTGAATGGGGTATTTGTTAGCCAACAATATAATCTGTGTGACCTTGTATGCGCTATATAGATATGGTTTCTCTGAGTGTTCAAAGATACTCATTAGAAAAAAAATAGAAAATATAATTAATGGAAGAACTAAGGTATTTGTTTTCAGGAATTACACAGTTAAAATAATTTGCTGAATATATTTTCAGCCTAATATTGTGGATATTGTAAATACATTTTTATTTCCTTGATACTCTATACATGTTTCTTTGTATTTTCCATAAGCTGGGAGTCTTTAAATACAAAACCGAAAATCGCTTACTCTTTCGTACCCTATATGCAAATCAAGTCACATGTTCTGTTTAAGACAAGGTAAATAATTGCACCCAAACGTGCAGCTGGCAATGGTGGTTTTTAATTGGAAATGCTTTAGAGCTGTTGCCGAAATCTTCATCTTGAAACTGAAGTTCAGTGTAAAGGATTCTAAAAAGAGCCCAACTACATCTATTTCATTAAATACAAGCTTACCACAGCTGCAGATTTATTTGGGGATGCTGATGGTGCTGCAGCTTTTCCACTGACAAGGGAAAGACCACAGTACTTGGCTAACAGGGACCTCGCCTCCCTGCCTTTCTTTCCTTTCCTTTTTCTGTCGTCCTCCAAATCGCCATGAACCGTGGTCAGAACACATTATCAGTTATGGATTAGGATAAGGAGCTTGATCTGATAAGTAATGAAAAAACCAAAGCATGCTCTTAACTGCTCAACTGTAGCTACTGTAAGCTCACTTGTTGCTTTACCTGTATACATGAAATGTTCTAGCAATTTTAAGAGCAAATTATTATTGATAAAATACTGATCACTATCAGGATATGGACTTTGCTTTTCTTCTTAGGCTATTTTCATTTGTTTCTTCTGCACCCTTTTAATGGAATATGTAGGTCTCTTGAAAGGTAAGGTTGACAATTGCAAGTCTGGCCTGCATTATGTAACAAATTATTTGAAATGCAGCACTCTTATTTTCTTTATACTAGTAAAGAAAATCAGTATATTTCATTTAACCAAATTCATTCTTCATTCATGTTCAAGGAGGCAAGGAAATTAAGAAGTTTTAACAGACTAACTTCATAGCGCATCATAAGCTTGTTACTTTGGACAACAAATAAGTTTTTTTTTTGGTAACTTCACAACCCACTTTTTAATGCTTGCGGTAGCATATAAATTGCTTCTAAGCCAAGGGCACAAGTCTTATCATTGAAAAGTCATGCACGATGGGGGGAAAAAAAACCCAGACAAACAAACCCAAACAAAACAACCCCCCCACAAATCCCCCTCCCTCCGCTGAAGACATTCTCTGTTTAAACCATTCCTACACCATGTATTCATGTCAACTGCATCATATTGATCTGCCTCTACAATGTGATGTGGGTTTATTAAAGGATTGTAGGGCTGCACACGTGCTTTTTATAAACTCTGCATGCATGGCTGATTCTGTCTTAATATATAATACATCAGTTAATTCCTTTTGTTTGTTTGTTTGTGTCTCCAGTGACGCAGAGGACCATAAACCTCTAAAAAAAGGAAGCCGGACACCTTCAGACAGAACTGTGAAAAAAGAAGACAGTGATGATAGTTTAGTTGACTATGGAGAAGGTGTAAATGGTCAGTTCAATGAGGATGGCTCCTTTATTGGACAATATAGTGGTAAAAAAGAGAAAGAACCTGCCGAAGGAAATGAAAGCTCTGAGGCTCCTTCTCCTGTAAATGCCATGAATTCATTTGTGTAACCACAGAACTTGGTCCCCTTGGTACCTTCAGTTTGTTTAAAGCACTTGTACATCCTCCCTCTTATACTATGAACATGCAGGTAATGGAGCTCCTCACCACAAGGTGTTTATGCTATGAGAACATGCAGGTCAATACAGTTATACAGCATAATGACACGTTAAGTGGTGTGTTAGTATGAATCAAAATACGACATTCAAATTTTGTTCAAAACTTGGGTATTTTTACTTTATTTAGAAGGAACTGACACAAACAGTAACATTGACTTACAATTTTGTTTTCTGTTGAAAATACCGTATAATGCATGAAAAAAAAAAAAGAAAAGCTACACAATTCACACATAAATCTCGTGTACACTACAAAAAAACATGGTTTGACAATTTGTTATGCAGTCCTCAGCCGAATCCCTGGATATGAATTCCGTTTTCATTGTCAGAGTGTTATAGTAGTATTACATAGAACTTCAATGTCTTTGTGGACATTGTTGTGAAATTGGTGACTTAATGTCTAGCTGTCATATGTCTTTTTGCAAGACGGTTAGGAACAGTATGTACAGTATATAATTGCTAAATGACTTAAGTATGACACTTGCATTTGCTGATGCTTAATGAGACCCTACTATCTGCTCTTTGCTCCTATTACTTTATAGCCTTTTTAATCTATCAAGTATTACAGCAGTACAGTGTTCTATTTTTACATCAAAACACATTGGATTGATTTTAGGGCATAAAAGATAACGCATTGCAATGCATTTTGGAATTTGTACAGTCACTGAAAGAAAAACTTTAAAATGAGAGAAAATATTCCAGAAAACACAGGGCAAAATACATTCAGTGCCTTTATACAATATGCATTCCATAATGCGCTGTGCTACTAAATCAGTTGGTGCAGTAAACTGTGATTAGCGGACTACTATCATTGCCAAATAAAGTAAAAATGTGAAGGGAAAAAAAGCATTATGAAACTGTTGTGCTAAAAATTAATGAAGGTTTTAAATATTTTAAATGACATAAAGAAGAGTATGGGGGGGATGTCCTTTAAAAATAAAATAAATGCTTTCTAGACAGTTACAGCACGACATGTTTTCATGGCCTTAGAAGATTTGGAAAAAAACCCCAACAAAACACAACCAGAATTCAATTATTTACTAACACAGCAAGGTATAAGCTCTTGTAAACTAAATTGTTATAAAACCAAACGAGCCGACTACACCAGCGAGAGCGCATTTCCCTCTGTGTCCCGGCCTGACCAGTGTGGCAGCTTTGTAATTATCTGCACCCCGGAGCAGTGTGGGGGTTACCGCGCGGAACCACAGAATTCAATCTGACAAGTGCTAATACGGTTTAGTGGTAAAGGCTTACCATGATCGGTTACAAAATTATTTTCTCGCATACTATATCAATCAAATGTTTACCTCCAAATATAAATTTTTATAACAACCTATGGTTGAAGGAATGCTCAGTTTCATTTGCCAATAAATTGGTTTTTCATAACTTGCATCAAGTTTAATTTTAAGTAAGCTTTTTATATGTAGATATTTTGTTGAATTTGTAAATACACTTAGAGCGTAGATGCTATATGCTTCTAGGTGTTACAAACAAATAAAACAAGAAAGCTTATGTTGTACTGTGTAAGAAGTACTATAGCCAATGGTGTGCATGGTATTTTAAAGCATCTACTTAAATATATATATATATATATATATTTTTTTTTTTTTTTTCTGCTGTGAAGACAAAATAGTGAACTGTTCTGCTTATTGACTGCAGATTCCTAATGGAACCATTCAGAGCTTTTGCCAGTGCGTTGCATTAGGCCATAGTGCACCTCGCAGCTTTCATGTATATATTGTAGGTAAAGCACAACTCAAGTAATCACAAACGTCAGCTGGCTGTAATAAGCTTCTTTCGCGCCTTTGAGCTTTCCATTGATCAGTTTTCTTAATGCAAGCCAGAGTAAGAAATGAGTTCTACAAACATTGATTACAAAGCACAAAGAGAACATTTCTTAATAAGATTTGCCAATGGTTTTGGCAAAAGAGAAATATGATTTTACTCTTATTTAATTGTAGATGCTGAATTATCTGTGCATGTGGGGGTAAACATACAGGCTCACTTCTGTAATAGTGCAACAGATTTTGTATTAAAAATAAATGTGGTTTTAAAGTTTCACTGTTTGTTCTGTTTACACTAGCACTAAAAATCACATCTGATTCACCATGTAATTAAGAATTCAAAGTGGAAAAAAGCATGAAACAACTCTGGCAGAAGTCATTCCCATGATGTTACAGGACTTTATGTACTGCAACCAAATTGTTTACGGCAAGTTGCATATCTTTACATGCTACTATTTGAAAAAATGCGAGTTTGTCTGACCGTTTCCCATTGAGCTCTCCTGCTATTTACACTTTATTTCCATGGATGCTTTATTTAGTCATTTCTGCAAAGAAAGAAAAAAAAAAAAAAAGTGAAACAGTCATGTTCCATACCTGCAAGAATGAATAAGAGAAAGTAAGAATGTTTATTTGAAGTTAAGAGCCCTCAGATAGGATCCCAAACCAGGATTTTGTGTCCTAAAGGAATTATCTGACATACAAAATTCTGGGTGCTTGTTTTAAACAGGACGCGAAGTGAGGGAATTTTAAGTAACGCCTTTTACGGTACACAAAATCCATTGCAATGCTCTTTTCATATCTTGCCTATGCTGTCTGTGAGTGGAAGCAGACTGGGCAAGAGGGCAGCTGCTCCGCAGAGAAGACGGCAGGAGAGCCATGGATTCCAAGGGATACAGGATGCTTCGGGAGACACATCAGAAAGTTGATGTTTGGCCTTGGTGCTTGAACGAGGAATTTTATCACTGAATCAGCAGCCGTTCTGGCAGCCTTCTGAGCCACCTTTGTGTAACTGGAACCCCCTGGCCATTCCAGCTTCTATCATCTGCGTAGTCTCGGTTCTGGCACCTTCAGATATTGGGCTGCCTGTTTTTCTGTACAGGTACCTGTTGATTTTTCCAGCAATATGCATTGACTGGGAGGTGTGAAATACAGCTGTTTGTGTTTCGATTAAAGAATAACTGCCGAGAAGGGGGTTCCCTAGGCTTTGTTGGGATGAAAGATTTCATATGATAACCATTTTTGGAGACACACGTGCGTTCTTTGTGCATGTTCCCCAAAGTGTACTAATACGTATAGTCGCTACATTTTCCTTTTAGTGATATACCTTTGCTTTTGGTTTTATTCTCACTGAAGTGATTGTATAAATCTGGAGGGAATTAAAGAGGATACCCCAACAGTAATTTTTCTTGTAATCTTCTATTCTCGCATTGTTCCTAGGAAAATACAGTTTCCTTGTGGCTCTACGTAGCAGAGGCAAAGTGGCAAAAGATTTGGGAACCAAATTCTCTTCATATGCTGTCTGGCCCATTTTAAGACAGAAGCTAGAGAAATAATATACAAAGAAATATGGGCTACAGTATGGAAGTGTTTTCTTTGAAAGAAGAATTAGGGAGAAAAGCAGGAAGAAGATGAGGTCTCAATAATTTCTGGAAAGTACTTGTCCTTCGTTGTGTGTTTCTGCCTCCCTCCCTCCCTCTCGTGGTCTTCCCCCTCCTGATGCCTTAGGAAGGAACAGTTCAGAGAGCTGGCCACCGGTATCCTGGGAAGACAGAAATAACTGAATGTGCTACTTGTAGGAATTTACCCCCAAATGATGCCCCCTGGGGTGCAAATGAATCCAATGGGCCATCACTTTTTAATCTCTGAAGGGATCTCTTGCTGCTCTTTATACACATGAAGTGGAAACTTTAGCCCAAAGTGTCAAGATAAATACGTGTCACCAGGACTTTGACAGACAGGAGATGTGATCCATCGTGACCGTAAGCAAGGAGGAGAATTGTGGTCCTCGTGGTCTCATGACTCTTGGCAGCAGTCATAAACACGAAATTCCTTACTGTGCTCACACGTAGGTGAGCAGATAAAAAATTCAGACTATGTTTAATAACTGAAAGTTGGATCCTTCATTTGGGGTTGGAGAAGTTTGCCCAAACGTGAATTTGGCAGCATTGGCTTTGTCCCACGGGGTAAAATTGAAGCCAGTGTGCAAGTAATGGGTTTGCATGTGTTACAAGTTGGGGAGCAAGGCAGGGCAGGAGGCAGCTCCTGTCACCAGGACCCCACCAGCCTTCCGTCCTGTTCTCCCTTGCTCTGAGGTGCTCAGGTAAAATAAAGTAAGTTTAGAAGATAGCACGGTCCCCCTGTCAGCTGAAAAAACCAAACAAACCATGACATCGTGTCAAAATCTAAGCCAATAAATGTCAAAATCTAAGGTGATAAATGAGTGAAGAGGAGGAAAAATGCCCCAGTCCCCAGCCTGCCATGTTGTACAAATGCGCGTGTCTAGGAAACAGGGAAAGTTTAGACGGTCTAGTTCTGGTGCCTAACTTCCTAAAAATTGCTGGGTCTCGTGCTGCATTATGGAATGAGCTACATTGACCTCTGATAATAAACTATATTTGATATTTATCTTCCAGAGGGTGCTGCCCGACTTCCCAGTCCACAGGCCTCTGAAGAGGGATGCTTTGATGTCTTGAACCCCAGCATCTTAACCTGACCGGTGATAGCAAGCCCACTCCATACATTGCTCTGCCTTGTGTTTGCAAAGGTCCAGAGGGCTTCAAGACTTCATAGGGCTAAGGGGACAAATTAAGTTTTGTAGTGGCAGCATTCAGAATATATTCCAAGCAGATGGTCTGCAGTGCATGTGCTGTAGCAAGGCAGGCCTCACAGGCCTGCCAGCATGAAACGCTAGCCTGTCTGGCACCGTAAGAAACAGAGGAAGCAAAAATGAAACTGTTGGGACAGAGAAATGGAAGCACAAAGGTGTAATACTTGAGGTTTCCTTTGAAGACTTAAGAAAGAGCTATTAAGATAGCTGGCCTGACGGGGAAGGGCTACATGACCCACACGGGAGAGGCAGCAGGAGCCCTTGCTAGTCCAGAGCAGCACAGC